CTTTTCTAAGACTTCGTTAAGTTATTGGTCTTATAGTCTAAAACTGGGTCGTCATATGGGATCTGTTCTTTATTTTTGCTATCCTTCCTGTCCCATGAACTGCATATCAGCAAGTCACTTATTTAGAACCCTACGCCAATTACCGACCACACGTTCTACTCGGCGGGAAGCTAAACTGTTATAATTTGCATCCCGTTCGCGGCAACAGCATTATTATATTATTCTGGTTCAATCGCTTTCATATAGTTGTTCGATAACTATCATTAGAAAAAAAACACAAAGAAAACTGTATAACTTCTTCAGTATAAGAAAAAAAAATTCAGAAACATGTTAAGTTACACGGAACTTATATTCTTTAATATTAAAAAGAAGATATAAGAAAACATGTATAAAAAACAAATATAATTATTTAGATTAAAAATAAAGAAATGAATATTATTAATTAATTAATTAGTTCGAAATAATTCGAAAGTTAAAAATTTGATAATTAAAAATATATTCATATAAAATGAAAAGAAAAATATATAAAATACAAGAGCTATAACAAATGTTCCAAATCAAAAGTTCCAAATTTAAAAGATCCAAAAATTTATTTTTCCAAAGTACAAAATATTTAAAAGTAAAATTCCCCAAAGTATACAATTTTGAAAGTAAATATTATTAGAATTTTCATTTAATAAAATTTCGTTAGATACAATTTTTAAATTTTTTCGAATTATTATTTTGCAGAATTTTCATTAAAGCTATTTTTTATATTACAGAATTTCTATATAACCGAAAATTCAATTAACAAAATTTGTATTTGCTCGATTTTTTCTTTAATTAAATGAAAATTCAAAGTAATGATAAAAGTCTGTAATAAGAATAAAAATAAAATAAAAAAGAATATAAATTTATTAAAATGGTTATTATATTAAATGCAAATTATAACAAATAAAAATTCAATCTAATAAAAATTTTGTGAAATGAATTTTCGGTTAGATAAAATTTCTTTAGTAAAAATAATATAAAAATAATAAAAATAAAAATTTATTAAAGTGGCTATTATGTCAAATAAAAATTCATGAAATCTATAATAAAAATTTTGGTGAAGAGAATTTTCGGTTAAATAAAAATTATCTATACTATGGAAAAACGGAAATTCTGTCATAAAATAATTCGAACAAATAAAAATTCGGCTATATAAAAGGCAATATTCTATCAAATGAAATTCTATCAAATAAAAATAATGATTTTTATAACTTATTGATGCGTCTGATATTTGTTTTTGTTACAAAAATATTTGAACATAATTTTTTTTTAAAACTTTTTTTTATTAAAGAGTAAAAGTTCCATAGATTTACAAGAAGAAAAGACAATGATAAGACAAATGATGATTAAAGTACAGAGAAATCGTACTATACTAATTAGCACACGCATTCGCAATTGGAGCAGAGAGCAACATCTCCCAGCTTTCCAAATAATCAAAGAACTGTGTGCGCGAGAATTTTTTAAACGCAACTAGAATTTTTTTTTTCTATATAAATTTTTTTTCCTTAATTCAATTTTGAAAAAAAACAACTTCATAGAATGAATATTTGAATATGTAAATTAAATACAATATGTAATCAAGATAAAATATTTCAACTGAAAATTGTTTCGAAAATTTTTTTATACGTGCAAATATATCATCGTACTTCAAGGAGTTGAGATTTATAAACTACATTCTAACGGTAAACGAAAACAAGTAAACGAAAATTGATAATAAAATTGACAAAGTGAAGATAGTGATTTTTTTCAAAAAAAAAGATGAATTGGGAATTATGAATTTTGGAAAAAAAATTTACTTTATAGAATAAGATAAGAGAAGATAATTGAAGATGCAGCATGTGAGAAGAGGAGGTTAAGGTAGCCTTCCTCGTTGTCGCGGGTTGATAGCATGCCGGAATGAAGGCAAGGGAGGTGCAAAAGGTGAAAAACGGTATGCGATCAGCATAACCGGTTTCTATTAGTGTACCCGAAGCACTCTTGAGAGAGTCTCCGCGAGAGCACACTGATGTGAGATTCGACCCAAACAACGGGGGTTTATATGACAGGGTCGTTCGCTTTTCCGATGTTAATTTAGTACAGTTGCTGATATGCAATGACAAATGTTCATTCATTCCACGAAAAAAAAACGAAAACAATCTAAGAGGGAGGAAATCTCCAGAAATAGAAACTTACTCGATAGAAACTCAGTTCAACATTACCAACTTCATCCTACTTATAAGAAATAATACTATAATATACCTAATTTCTTATTCATAGAAAAAATTCAATTTCTTCTAATGAAGAAGTTATTAAGTTATTAATTTTTCAAAGTAAAAATTTTACTCAGCTAAAAATTACCAAATTCTTTCAATTATCTGTCAAACTTGATTCTAAAGAGAAATTCAGAAAGCTTTCATTATGATGAAACAGATGAATCTAAAAGAGGACAAATTTTTTTTTCAGAAATACGAAACAAAAAATAAATATCGATTATTAAATAAATAATATTCAAAGTGCGATCCAATTACAAAATAAATTCGATTTTAAAAATATTTTTTTGTAGAAAAATAAATTTTTTTTTTTTTGAATAACTAAATATTTTTTCATGAGAATTTTATGAATGGCAAAAACGAATCAAGAAATAATATTTTGTTTGTGTTTCGAAATATATAAAACGACTTTCATTGGAAAGTTAAATTGAACCTTGGCTTAGAATTAGTGCGTCAATTTAAATAGTTAAAAGTTGGTCGATATTTAATTAATCAATATTTTGATATTTACATATGAAGAGATACTGGTTTTGATACCAAATTTTTTTTTACCAGCAATTGTTCGAAAAATTTCATCATATAACAATTTTCACACAATAGATTTTAGTCTACCTTTATATTGAATATATAGACTACATTATCAATCTAAACTGGTACACCAGACTTAAACATTTTTTTTACGTTTATCAAAAGTAAGTAAATGTCAGACTGCTGACGTTTGTATTTTGTATACTAATCATAAATATACAGTATTTAATAGCTGAATGAATCATACATAGATTATCGTTGAATAAATTATATACAACAAGAAAGGTTGTGGATTAATATAAAATTAAATTTTTTGAAAGAAATAAAAGAGAAATTGAATATTTGTGACGCGCTCTAAATAAAGTGACAATTAAGAAGCAAAAAAAAATTATAGGTTATGAAAATACTGATACTTCACATAATTGACATAATTAATAAAAGGAAAATTTTTAAACTATTATATTTATTTATTTATTAAAACTATTATACGTAAACATAATCTAAAATTTTTTATATGTCCCTTTCTTCAGAGCGCATTTTTAATTCAAGAAGCAAAGAAAAGGGGAAAGAACAAAAAATTAAAATAAGGGTAACTGAGAATGAAGGTTAACTGGTATAACTAAAAGATGAATAAAGGTATAAATGAAGTTTTATAAAGTCAGAAAAAAGTGGTTTCGCAAGGTTAAAGTTAACCTGTTTGATACGGAGGTTAGAAAAAATTGCATATAGAATAAAAGATTAAAAATAATATAAATAATAAATATAATAAACAGACCTCGGATTATACAACTTTTTCAACTTATTTTAATAAAATAATACTTTTTCAACTTTTTGAAAAAAAATTTTACAACATTTTTAAACAATATACGTTTTTTTAGTATACAATGCAGATCTTCTTCATCTCAATTATTTAACAAATTTTTAACTAAAATTCTTCACTAAATTAATTATTTTTAATAATTTTAATAAAATTCTTTTCAAATTCAATATTATCTTAAAGTATTTTACAATTAAAATTTTAATGAAATTTAATAATTGTTTATAATTTTAAAAAAATTAGCAAATACAATTACCAAAAATTTTTAATTCAAAATCACTTGAAATTTAATTATTTATAAAAATTTCAATTATTTTTAATGATTTTTATAATATTTTTTGAAAATTCAACTACAATCTGAAACTATTTTTCACTAAAAAGTTTTTAAATTATTCTATTTTTGTCTGCAATTTCTAATAAATTTTTTAGTGAAATCATCAAAAAATTTTAATTAAAAATCACTTGAAGTTCAATTAATTTCAAAAATTAAAATTTAAAATTTTGAAAATTTAATTACTTTTAAAAAATTTTATTTAAAATTATTTGATAAATTATTTTTAGTTTTGTAAAATTTAATTATTGTCTGAAAATTATCACTGCATAATCTATTATTTAATAATTAGTTTCTTTTTTTTCTAAATAGCAGCGTTATACAAATATGTTATATAATTTATAATTAGGGGTACTTTATTTTAAAGTCCCGTATATAAATAAATAAATAAAATCTTTTGAAATTCAATTATTTTCAAAAATTTAAATTTAAAAGCTTCTAAAATTCAACTATCTGAAAACAATCTGAAATCAAAACTAAAAACTATGAATTGTAAAACTTTGTAAAAGTACACAATGGAGAAATAAATAGTAAGAAAATGAAAAAAAAAACTATGACATTCAAATAAATTGCTTAAGTCAGACTTGAAAAAATTATAAAAATGGAACTTTAAGAATTTTCTTAGAAATTTGTCCTACTTAAATAAAATTTTGAAATTTTTTCTTACAATTAGTTCGATTCCAAAATATTCAAAATAAATTTTCTTGATAATATTCATTACAGAATTAATAAAATGAATTTAATATCTCATAACATTAGTTATTTAAAGTAAAATATTGATTAACCAATTAAATTTTGTTAAAATAAAAAAAATCGACTTTTTTGACTTTTTTGTGCCCTAAAGTCGATCCGAGGACTGAATAAATAAAAAATAATAATAAATAATACAAATAAAAATAATAAAATATTAAAAAATACTTCTTCTATACCGGAAGTTAATTCTTTAATTGATCCTAAAGAAAATTGTTCAGAAATTATATTAAAAAATGAAAAAACAAACATTTTTTAACTAATTATATTGACCTGTTAAAATTTATTGTTGCAGTTGGTTTAGCAAATGATTCAGCGCGCCTGGACAAAAGTAACAAGACTGACATTGAGGATGCTGCAAAGTTGCATTAGTGGAAGATCATCAAGATGTGTCCGAAGAGCATTGGTATTTGCCTTTGCATGGGGCCTCGTTATGATAGCCACTTTACAATTCCGTTATGCTGAAAATAGCATTTTACACGAGAACAACATAATTGAAAACGAAGGCATTGCCTTTAATAATAATATTAATAATAATTATAAACAAGAACAATCAGGTCAGAATACAAAAGAATCGAATTTTCTTCTAAAATTATTTTCATTTATGAATTATGCAAATTATCATGATAATTCAACGTCAGTTTATACAACACTAACATCTTCAGTTACAAAAATGCCCCTCAATCAAGATCCACTACTTGATAAACGACCAATAAAATCTGAGGATGAATTAATTCGCGAAATTGAAGATCGTTTACCTAGTCTACCCGTTGCGTATTGGAATAAAAATAGTAAATTTCTAAGTAGTCAAAGCAGTAAAACATCGAAGACAAATGACAATGTTTGCGTTGCCAAGTATCCTAGTATTTATGATTTAGAATTTAATAACATTTATTGGCAAACATTGAGAACAAGCAATGGAACATTTCAATTGTTTGGCGCCTATTATGATACAAGAAAATTATCGAGAATTGGACCCGCTGTTAGAATGGTTGGAATGATTGATAGAATTGCACCGACAATAAAAACTTATTGTCAATTGTGGTATGACGGGGAACGTGAACCGAAGGTTGTTGAAATTCTCGAATATAAATATATATGGTTTTCAAAGTGGGGCAATTATAAACAGGGTATTTATCAGCCTTACGTGATTGCTTGTAAAATACCACAGACACATTGGCAAAAAGGTCCGCCAGCTTCCGTGTCTTTAGTTGAAAAGATCTGCGATACTGCATCCAATAATCTTCGTGTGATTTATAATAAGCCAGAAAAGAAAAAAGGTTTTGCTGTTTGTGTAAAGGGATTGGATTTTCTTCATGAGGATTTATCAGTTAGACTTGTTGAGTGGATCGAACTCATTGGACTTCTAGGAGCGGATAAAATCTTTTTCTACGAACTACAAGTGAGTTCTGATAATAATATGACTCTTAATGTATAATATTTACCTTTCTTCCTTTTTTTCCCCCCTTTGATGATGATATACCAAAATAGTAGTTTATTCCTGTTATGTATATTTTTCCAATCATCAAACTAGATTTCTTCTTTCTTATTTTCTTTAATCACTTCCTCATTCATGCTTTTCTTGCTCCAGTAAATTTACTTTATCAATAATAATTATCTTACTCTTCTTGTTTTTTTTTCAACTTCCGCATTCAGTAAAAATTTTTTTTTTTTTAAATTTTAATCATCCCTTTATTTTTTCAAAATCGTTTCGCAAAGAAAACAATAGTTTTCATTGTTCAACTTTCCTTGTTTCCTAAAAGGAAATTCCATTCACAGTCTTTAGAATTCATTCTAGAATCGTAAAAGACTCCTTCATCTCTCTATTTCATCTTCTATATAGCCTTTTAAATCCACTTGTTAAAGACTAAAGAATTCCCTTTCGTTCTTAGAATATGAATGTTTCCATTTCTTCCATTTCAATTTGCTTCATCTCTTGTAAATTGCCTCAATTAGAATCGTTACCACGTTTTTTTTTCCTTTCATTTTTCTCAATAATATAGACAGTGCGCTCTAATTTCCTTATTGCATTCAAAAAGTGAAATAATACTCCCAACGATCATATAAAAGTACCTGTATGCGAAATATTTTTAATTAGTATATTTAAAAAACGATTTAAAAATTAAAAATTATTTTTCCACTTTACAGGTTCATCCAAATGTCACAAAAGTTCTCGATTATTATCAAAAATTGGGAAAAGTACACGTGACGCCTATAACACTACCAGGAGGTCAACCAAATGTACCCGGTTTTCAACATATGTATTTAACTAAAAAGACTAATCATAAACGACAAAATGAATTAATTCCCTATAATGATTGTTTATATAAACACATGTACGAGTATGAATATATTGTTTTATTGGATGTCGACGAAGTTATAATGCCCCTAAAAGAAGCTACTTGGCAAGATTTAATGAAAAATCGTATTCTACCGAAAGCATTTAAAATAAAAAACGAGACACGAGCTTCCTACAATGTTAGAAACGTCTATTTTCTCGACGATCTTCAACATTCTCACGGTTCTTTCAAGGACATTCCAAAGTAAGTTTATTTTCATTTCAACATTTTTATGGTCATTTTAAAGTTCAATATCAAGATCAAAAAAAAGCATGTCAGTTATAAAAAAAAAAGAGGTTATAAAAATTGTTGTTATTTTTGTAAAACGCTTACCTTTTTTCTGCTTTGATAATCCCAAGTATTATTATATGTGAAATATAACATACTTTTATTAAACCGAAAACACTTAAGACTTTTACTCCTCTTAGAAATATATTTAACTATTGTAATTAATTAATTAATAAAATAAACACGTTTTTCGGCGCGCGAACTGAAAGTATTGGACTTCAAAAATGTTTCCCTAACCTAACCTGAATTATTTACGCATGCGCCCCTAAAAGGGCGGGATTTTTCAAATGCAATAAAAATTGAAAATTAATTATTTATTGCAATTTATAAGGGAAAATATAATATATAACAGAAAAAATAAAATAAAACGTATGTAATATTGACTTATTTCTAATCTTTGCCCTGAATTGTAAGCATTAAATTTAAAATAACAGGTAATCAAAAAGTAATAATATTGCATTACAATTTGCCTACTGATACGGGCACTTAAACATTCTTCCACCTTAAAGAATGAAAGTATAAGTATATCTATGAGTGAGAGGAAAACTCTTCCTTATATGTAGGAGGAAGATTTTTGCTCTGACGTTCATGATAGACGATGCATATTGTTCTTTTTATGCCTACAATTACAAAATAGATATATACCAGAACTTTCTATAAGCAAATATTATGCCTTTCTAAAATAAAATGACAAAGTTCAATTAATTATTAAATATAAAAAAAATTTTTACTTTAATTTCTTATTTTTCTGATTATTATGTTTTTAACTGATGATCAAAAATCAGAAACTAGTGGTAATTTTTTGCAATTTACAATAATAATAATAACAATAATAATTAATGCTAAAAATTAATAATAATAATAATAATAATTGTTGTTATTATTATTATTATTATTATTATAATTATTATTATAAATTATAATCGAATAAAAAATATTTTCTTCAGCCGAAAGAAATTTGAATAATTTTTTTTTTTTTTTAATTAAATTCAGAATATTCATAAGCATATTTTTGATATTAATTGTATAATTATCATTTTCAGGTACATGCACATGTTACAACATGTTTACAGATCCAAGAATTTTACGAAGCCTAATCAATATATCAAGTGTTTTCATAATCCAGAAAGAGTGGTTACGCTTCACAATCATTTTCCTCTAGCCTGCTTAGGGGCTGGATGTACTAGTTATCCAATTGAGACTGAAGATGCTCAGTTGCAGCATTATAGAGCAGACTGTGTTAAATCATTGAAAAAAACATGTGTCGAATATCGAGAAAATAGCGTAATGGACACAACAATTTGGCTTTACAAGGACAAATTAATAAGAAGAGTGACTGATACTTTGAAAACATTAGGCTATTTTGGAATAAGTTAAATTTTTTGTTTTTAATTTAAATTAACTATTTAATTCATTAATTGTCAAAATTAAATTGTTGCTCATCATTTTTTTTTTTTTTTTAAGAAAAATTCTTCCTTATTTGAAGAATGTAGTCTATATAAATTTAATGAAAAGAAATTCTTTTTCTTTTCAATTGTTGTATCCATGCATAATTTTTGTTAATCACCAAAAGGTGATGTGCTCAATAATTGTTTTAAATTGAATACGAGGCAACAAATTCACTGCCTGATCTATCTACATAATTGAAAATTAAATATTTTTTTAAAAATCTGTATATATATTTTTGAATGCGTTAAGATTTTTTTCGATCATTTTTTGATGAAAAAAAAATGTTTTTTTAATAAAAAAAGAAAATACAAAATGTTTATAAAAAGTTTGTTCTTACGTGAAATAATTAAAATTTTTAGATTATAATAAAGCCTAGATAATAATACCTTATGTAAGAACTTATTTATTATAAACTTTATACTCTGTATAAACTATAAGACTAATAATTTTTATTTCTTGTGAAAATAGTCTTTTTTTTTAGAAAAATTGACAATTTATATTCATGGTTAAACTTGATCGCTTAGTGTGTGATTTATTATTATTCTATTCGATATTAATTTTTAAGTTTAATAAGCGAATATTGTTATACCATGAATTGTACACTTTCATCAATCTTTTTTTTTTAAATTAAACATTAAGTTTGTTGCTTTATTTCTGTAAATAAATACGTAATTAATTAAATTTTGTCTATTGTTTTTAAATTAACTAAAAATTAATTCTAGAGTTGGGTGTTTAGAAATAAAACACTTAATTAAAAGATGATTCGTATGACTTTTTTTTATTAATTTTTTTTTCTTTTTTTGTCATTTTTTTCGTCTTTATCACCTTCACTTTTCTCAATTCTCTTCTCCTCTCTCGCTCTTTAAAAAAGTAACGAAAATCTCACTCTTCTCTCTTAGTGTATAACTTTTACAGACGCAAATAATTCATTCGCTTTTTTTTTTTTGTTTTTTCTCTTTTTATATTTCTGAATCCCTTTCGCAAACACGCAATATACTCTCATACACACTCTGAAAAAGTAATGCACAAAATAAAGAGAGAAAGAATGTTATATGTGTACGTGTATAATTTACCGCTCTGTCTATAGTCAAAAACTGTTTTTCTTATTAATCATTGTAAAAACTATCGATGACAATGACATTTAAAGAATCGACCATGATGATAATTATATACTGGAGAAAATAAATAGTTTATATTGTTCATTCATGATTTTATAACTAAAAAATATGTAACAAAATACTTATTTTCAGATGCGAGAATGAAAAGATATTTTTTTTAAACTATTAAATAATTTTTCATGGTCGAATTCTTGTTATTGATTTCTTTTATAATTCAACGAGCGGTAGCTTAATCTATAAAAAGGACTTTTTTTTTCTTCTTTTTCTTAGAAGCTAATAATTATTTTTTTAGTACTCTTCTATCATCTTACACGCGATTCACAATCATTCTTTTATAACTCTCGCACCAATCACTCGCGGATAAACCCGCTAACAAGGTGATATTTATGGCCATTTTTTTTATACTCTTTGCCTTCTTTTCATTTTCATATAATATATATAATCGCAAACACTTCGTTCATAATCTCACATTCATCATTTAAAAAAAAAAAAAATAATAAACGATCGTTTTATTGAAAGTTGAGTACACTCTCGATAATATTATCGTAAATTTTTTTTTTGTATTTTCGAACCTGCGAATGGAGGAAAATAACGATTTTCATTCGAGAGTGTATATTTAAATATCGATTTTTCGCTGAAAAACGATCGTTATAAACGGATTTTTAAAATTTCGAGGAGCGCTAAATATGGCTTTGTTTTTTTTTGTAACTTCTCATTCTTTCAACTTTAGACATTGCTTTTCTCGCTTAATATAATATGTCGTAAGGATTTTTTTTCTTTATATACACGAAGTTTACAAGCGTAACCAAAGTTAGTCGTTGAATTGTCAAAAAAAATGCACTTATCTTCTCTGAATTAGTGTCTGGATATGAGCGTTTCTTTTTTTTAAAATCTTTTCTATTTTTCTTTTTCACTGTAAAAACATTTTTTTTTAATTAAAACTTGAGAAAAAAAAACGCCAATGTCTAGACACAATTCGAGTGTAATTCTAATTCATAAAATGCGTTACTAACATTCCACTACGTTCGAATGTATATATCAATGAGAAAAGCCTAATCTCAATTCAACGACTGACTCCAAAGCTACGTTTTGGACACGCCTAACGCCTACAAATTCGTTAAGATTCCTCGCGTTTATTCTTCTTCAAGGGAAGAAAATCTCAAAGAATTTTTATATAAACACGAGAAAATCTCACGTAAAAAGATGTATATTTGTTTCCTGTTTGCTTTTTTTTCTTTTCTCTTTTGACTCTTTAAACAGGACAAAAGCAGATTAGAAATTGGCGCAGCTTATTCTTTCTGCCCTGAGTGAAACAACTCCCAAGGCCGCAACAAATATTTTTTTTTTGTAAGAGCGGACCCAAGTTAAAAAAAAAGAAAAACTTACAACGGAAGAGACAGCAATGCTAATATGCTATCTTTCAAAAAGGAAATAGAAGAAAAATTGGGCTCTTACCAAGGAAGTGTAAAAACGTGAAAGTTTCGATGAAAAATCACGCGCCAATCTTTTTTTATATTTCGATCAAAATTTTTTTTTTTATTTTCGCATTTCATCAAGGAACATAAACAAAGTATTTTTTTGCAGAAATTCAGAAAAAATTGCTATGGGAAAAATGTAAATAGTTCAAAAATAAAGATTAACAATAAATCATATATGAGAAATTTTAATTTGATTTTTTTTTCAAGTCTGCGAATTATTTACTTTGCTTTTTGTTCCTCCCGACTAAATATGTATATAAATCTAATCTAATGTTGTTTCTCTCCTCGCTTTCGATACAGGTACAAATTTAATGTTTAATATAATTAAAGGATTTCACACGATGCGAATGTTTTTTTTCACTATACTTTTTAAAAAGAGTTGTTGAAACAACTATAAATGATTTTTTTTTCGTTCGTCCCCACCGACTTTCAATCCCCCTGTTATTTTTAAAAAATATTTTTCTCTTTTTTTTTGCTTCTCCAAGCGATTGTTATTACAAAGTTCTTAAACACTTACTGAGCAAACTATGCGCACCGCACACAAGGGGATGCAAAATATTCTATCACAATTTGTTTTCTGTCTTTTTAAAAAACCTTCGGGGACGAACGTTATACAATTTAAATCGAGTTCCGATGTTTGCACTCATAAGCGCAATTGTATCATCGTGCTCGTTTTTTTTTTCTCAAATATTTTTAATTTTCTCAAAATTTTCGGCAACTTTACCAATTCGTGTGTAAACACTACGCACAATATTACCACAAGAAGGAAAGAAGCTCCTTCCCAAAAAAAACAAAAACCGAGTTACGTGTACTATACATGTATGTTATATCTTGGTTCAAGTTGTCAAAAAAAAAAGTAAGTTAGTTCAAACTTCACTGTCAACGTTAACGTTTAATAATAATAGTAATAATAATAATAATCAAAAATACGTTTACTTTCATTCCTTTTTTTAATAACTGTGCGTGTCTGAATAAACAGAATTTTTTTACGTGAATCATCTCTGCATTTTCCAATTCACAAACTTATTAAAATTAAAAAAAAAATTGAGAGACTGTATAATCTATGTACTTTCTATTATTATGAATGATTAATATTAATTATTAGTATTATAACTACCAGTCAGGTGGAGGGGGAAAGAGCAGAGACATCATCACGTATGTCTTAAAAAAGAAACGTTTAAAAAGATGTAACACTGTTTGAAAAAAAGAAATCAACCCGAATAAAGACAAAAATCTATTTTTTTTTAACGGTAAAGAGTAAACATAACTGTCTAAATGAAACTGAATATAGTAACTATTTGATAGTGATCGACATTACTGAATCCAGTAAATATCGTCGGTAACGTCGTTTTCGTTGCAGTCAATATAAAAATCGGACACAAAACAATAAAAATTCATGTCCGATTTTTTTTTGTTTTCTATATTTCACAAAAAACGGTTTTTTGTCGGTGGCATTTTTAAAAGTGGAATTATTTTTCTTTATAAAGACGAATTACTGCAGCGAGAAAGAAAATATTTTTCAGAAAATATATTCGTTTTTCTTTTCTTTTTTTCTTTTAGCCACTTGGTGATGCAACAATCGGCGTATTTTGACGTTCAAGTAAAGTTGAACGAGCTTTTAAACGTCTCTGCATCAGGAGACTCTCACTAGGTGGTGATAAACCGAACAAATTTTTTAATGGATCCTTCTCGATCAATCGATTTTTACCGATGATCTTCGAATCACTAAGATCGATACTAGAACGCACCGATGATGATCTGTGGCGCGAATTTGATTCAAACTCACATGATGAATGTGTCGCGCCATTTTTGCTGTGCTCTGATAATTCACTGCTTGAATCAGACATGTGACCGTAGGGATGATTATCGTCGTCAGTTGATGATGTTGATAATCGTGGTTCTCTGTTCTCTAAAAGTTCCTCCAAATTCACAGAGAAATGTTGAAAGACGACACGATTCACTGCCATCGCTGATTCCGCAAAGGCTGACAGTTCACGAGCAGAATTATTCCTTCTGAAATTCAATTTTCTGTTAAGTTGAAAATTCTACATAAGGTATTTTTTATTAAAATAAAAGAGAATTTTATACCTTATTATATGCGGAGTAATCAATGGTCTGTTTCCACCCTCGATGGAACAGGGTCCAGGTGTAATCCAAGAATGTTTGAGAACACACTCCGCACTAAGTCTCTGATGCGCGTTTTTAACGAGCAAACCCCTAATGAGGTCCTTTGCGTCTTCAGAAATAGTTGTCCATTCACTGTCAGGAAATTCGTATCTCCCTTCTTGAATGCTTGTGAATAGCATTTGTTGACAGGCACGGCAATTCTCTCCCCTTTCCCAGCCACAATCTGTGCCGCAATTTCCATAAAACGGAGGATAGCCACACAGTAGAATGTACATAATAACACCCAAACTCCAAAGATCACATCTTTTATCGTAATAATTTGCCTCGCCGATAAAAGCTTCAACTACTTCTGGTGCCATAAATTCTGCACTACCAACTGGTGTCAACAATTGTGGCGTTGCTACTGGACTTGATAGTGAATTATTGAATTTTATTCCAGAACCAAGATCAAAATCACACACCTTTATTGGTGTTAATTTATCAGGATGGACACACAATATATTCTCTGGCTTCAGATCCCTGTGAGCAATTCCTAAAAAAAAACAAAATATTTCCAAATTACAAGTCTTGAATCGAATTTAAGGCACAAAAAAAGTCGATTTATATTTCAAAAAAAGTCGAAAAAGTACAAAAATATTATCAAGAAAATTTATTTCGAATATTTTAAAATCGATCTAAATTTTTTTTTTAATAATAATTTTAGAAAAGTTAAAGTTAAAATTTGTGGAAATAATTGAATTTTAGAATATTTTGTTAATTTTCAGACAATAATTAATAGGGTGTCCGGCAAGAAGAAGAAAAAATTCCCTGACTTTTTCCTAAACTTTTTTCAACTTTTGATTAACAAATATTTAATATTAAAAAAAGAAAAGTATCAAATATTAAATTATTTTTCAGATAATAAAAATTATTTCATTTATTAGCATTATAAACTTTTTCTTGCACCAAAAAATTTAAAAAATTCATAAAAATGTTCATTTTTGGCAAATTATTAAAAAATTTCCAGACTTTTAATTAAATTCTCTAACTTTTCAATTACTAAAAAATTTCCCTGCCCGCTGGACAACCTGATTAAATTTTACAGAACTAAAAAGAATTTATCAAATAATTTTTCAGAGATTTACAATTCAGTTTTTTTAAAATTAATTGAACTTCAACTGATTTTTAATTGAAATTTCTAGTGATTTCTGTTGATGAAGAATTAATTAGAAATTGCAGACAAAAATTTAATTTAAAAATTTTTCAATTAAAAAATGCTTTCATACAATTGAATTTTTGAAGAATATTATAAAAATCATTTTAAATAATTATATTTCGGAAGAGTTATAGTTGAAATTATTCAGTTTCAGAAAGTTTCAGATGGAAAAGTTTTGAAATAATTAAATTTTTTGAAATTAATTGAATTCAAATGATTTTGAATTTGAATTTTTTGGTCATTTCTGTTGCTGAAGAATTTCTTAAAAATTAAAGATAAAAATTGAACTTTAAAATTTTCTAATTGAAAAATGCTTTGAGATAATTGTTTTTTCAAAGAATATTATAAAAAACAAATAATTGAATTTCAGAAGTGTTACAATTGGAGTTATTAAATTTCAGAAAGTTTTTGATGAAAAATTTTAAAAATAATTAAATTTTTAAAGGTTTTAAATTGAAAAAAAAAATTAAAATCTGAATTATAAAAAAAATAATTATTTGTATTTTAAGTATAAATTATATTCTTGAAAATATACCTTTTTTATGAAGGAAATTGAGTGCACTGGCAATTTCTTTGATGATTTGACTTGCCTCCCTCTCGCTAAAATGATTTTTCTCTTGAATTCTGCGCAATAGCTGGCCACCGTTAATTTTTTCAAAGACAAGATAAAATTTGTCATCATCTTCGAAAAATTCAATGAGCTGAATAATATTAGGATGTCCCTGGCAATGGTGAAATGTCTCCACTTCCTTAAACACCCTTGTTCGTGCATGGCCTGGAATTTTGTCGATGATTTTGACAGCATATTCCAGATCAGTATACAATGAGGTACAAGCTTGGACAGAAGCGTACGCGCCTTCGCCAAGAACTTCTCCGGTTAATTTGTAGAGTTCTAAAATAAAAATCACAAATTTTAAACATGCAAATTTTTTCAATTTCGCACAAAACAAAACCAAAAAAAAAGATAAATGAAACAAAACTGAAATTTCAGTTCATTTTATTATAAGAATGCGAATTTAACTAATTATTTTTAATGAAGTAATAGCAGGCGTTTCTGTGTATGTGTATACTTGTATGAGTGCGAGGCAATGTCAAGGTCAAAGGGAGAGAACTTCGTTCAACCACACGGCGCAACTACATTTCCCTTCCTTCAATTCTCTGTCTCTATCACTCTTGATATATAAATTCTCCTTCTCCTCTATTTCCCCTCTTTTTAGCCAACCCTCGCGACAAAAATCTACACTGAGAGCAGAAACACAAACTATAGGAGTACACTTCAAAACAAAAATATTAACACGCTTCTTTTTCTCGAGATTCAAATATAATGTACTATTTAAAAAAAAGAAATAAAAACACAGCAAATTAACTCCGAAATATATTTTACAAAATTAAATATTTTGAACGAATGAATATGTCAATTATAATTCAAAAACAATTTTAAAAAAACGAAATTTTTTTTTTAGAAATTTTAATACTACTTTCTACTTTGCGACGTTAGAAACGAAAGCTTGGCAACACTGCCGGCGCTGAAATCCAATAACATTTTCCACTTCTCAGGAAGAATGCTTAAAAATGCAAAGATCTCATGAGAGTAATAACCAGTCAACATAATATGATTTCATCATCCACGAAAAAAAAAACGCTTCCTACTTTAATTTATCTTTCGTTTATTCTTTTCGAGAACTTCGGATTTAAGATAAAAATAAAGAAAAAAAAGTCGAGAGAAAATCGATAAATTCTTTTTATATCTCATTATATTTAGAGTTTAATCAGGAAAGAATAAATGATTTCTTTCGTTACATATTTATTAAAAAAAAATTATTTCAATGAAGACAATAAAACTTAATGGAGACGTGTGTCCTTCAATGTGAAGGTCCTCTTGCAAATTAATTTCCATGTTACTCATATATTGTTGACTGGGTTACTATATGATTCGTTCAACAGGGTACTCAATTACAATACCGGTGTATATGCGTATTTATTGAGTTCATCAAAAGTCAATTTCGATTCAATTCTATTAAACTCTATTAAATTAGTGTCTTTTAAAAAAAATTCCACTTTCATTTCTTTTTACCAGAATTAGAAAAATTCGAAAGTAAAAATTTCGCAGGTAAAAAAAGTTCCTACTTTCGATTTATGATAATGAATAAGTCTCTCTCTCTTTCTTTTTCTCTCTGTATAGAAATGTTTTAAAAATTATTTGTACAATACAGTAAAAAATGAAACGATGTAAACACTTTGTATTTAATGACTGTTTATTAAAGGCAAGACCAGTACTTGTAAACGCGGAAGTAACAAAGGTCTACAACCTATAGTCGAGAATAAAGAAAAACGCACTACTCAACGGCATTCATTAACAAAAATCGTTTCTTTTATTTCAGTTCATTTCCTTTCTCCAAAATTAAGGCGAAAGTCATAAAGACCTTAAAGACCCAAAAATGGTTTGGTTTTTCTTAAAAACGAATAACTGAACAAAGAATCAATTCTATAATTATAAGAACTGATTATAATAAAATATTTCTTTAATTTTGTGGCGTCTGGAAATTTATTTCCACATTTTTGAACAATATGAACTTTATAATTATATTTTATATATATACACTAAACTGAAAATGCACAAACATTTACACAAATACACACACAAACAATATGTATTAATACTACATTTTTATTAATAATTGTAATTTTATGTATTGTTACGATGTAAAAGAGTTTGTTAAATTGGGATATTTAAACATTATTAATCTGCTCTTCGGAGTTTCTCTCGCAACAACCCAAATGATAATAATATCATTTAGTTTATAATTTTATGGGACGGTATTCCTCTCCAATCGGTATATCTCATCAGGAACAAGGGATTTAAACAAAGGGTAGCAAAATGAATAAGTCTTCTTATTCCGATTAATAGTTAATTTGGTAACAATATGTTTATTTACTCGACTTTTAATCTTTCACACAACCAACTACAATGCATTTAAAAATGTTAACTCAAGTCAAGGCTCGACTTTATTTTATGAAGTTTCATGAATGATAATTTTTGTTCAGTTGTTCATTGAAACGATACAATTTTACTTACGTAACCGCCTTAATTCCTACCGCACTGAAGGAGTAGAGAAAAGTCATCTGGTCTTTTTCCTTCCTATCAGAACGGGCTTTTAGTAGATGATTGTTTATTGGAGAACTATATTTGTCCTCTCTGTTATCTGTGTTGTGTCTGTGTATCGAACAACACGACGTGATACAATTCCCTTCGATTATAATGCATTATTATAATTCTACGCATGGGAATTATTCACTTTCGGGTTGTGTTCTTTAAATCACGACTGGTTACTTAATTCGTCAACAACTATATCGAAGTCAACTCCCACGACACCTTGGTACCTTTATGTGAAATATTCGAATATAGTTACGCGTTAACGAAAACACCTCGATCATAAAAGACACGGGAATTCCTGGTAAAATAATTACAATTTGAATTTGAATTAAGTAAAAGGAATTTCTTAAATCGGTATCAGAGATAATTAAGGTAATCATCTCTTATATTTAACGTCTGCCCAAATCTAGTTGCCCGTGGCGAACCCTTTTGAATCGGCCGAATCTCACAGACGGTCGACTTCGCGATGAACCGATTAGCACGAAGAACTACCGCGAAGAAGCAAAATGTCATCGGTTCACACAAGTTTTAATACAAACAATTGAGGTCGGGGTGTGGTAAAATTGGAAGAGGTGGAATCGAAAAATGAAGAAATGAATTATAATTTCTTAATCATTTCTGATGAATCCCAGAATTTCTTTAATGCTATTGAACTCTGTTACAGTGCAACAGAGCTTAGCTCATCATTTTAGTTACCAGGTTGGATTGGCAACTTGACTTTTATAAGTAATATTTTTACAGAAACGTTGACGTTTCTTATTTCCTTCAACAAACTCATATTTGGTCGTTGACGCAATAAGAGTCTTGATGCTTCTATTATCAAGCTAATTTATGAGCATTCTTTTAATTCTCTTTTAATTCATCATTTTTGAAATGATTCTATTGTAATGAATGATTCGAATCAATAGGGAATAATAGGAAAGGGATAATACTCTATGAATGTAGTAAAACCAACGCGAACACAATGCAACTGCATTTGTCGAACCGTATGCTAGATTCTTACCGTTATAATTTAATATTCATAAAAATTTAATACTATTTCTGGAATAAAATTGCAATGATTTTATCAGGAATTAATTAATAATAATTTGGACTAATTAATAATGCTGAACCTGTATTTTGAAAGAACTTGCGAAATGCTTTTTTTTTAAAATAAAAGACCATTCAACGAAAAGGAAATGTTGACGCAATAACTTTTCTCATCCTTATTTCGAAATCACAAATTGGCAATAGTCGAAAAACTTGTTTCAACACTTTCTGAAAACAGCACTTTTTATAACATGAATGGGGTTGACAATTACGTGATATATATACATATATATATATATATATTTACAGAAATGAGTACAAATACGTGTACGCAAGTATTCACGCAAAAATTAATGGGGATCCGAATTTCCAAAGTATGGGCTTAAAAATGAAAAATATTACGGTACCCAAATGGTTCATAACAAACCACCCATAGACTTACATGTTTCCGTCCCTGGGAACTCCCAAGCATTGGAAAATCGGATATCCATATGAATTTTGTTTATTATATTTTTAGTCGTAATTAAAATTTTATAGACGGTAGGAATTCGAAGAATCCTATTAGTAACAGTGATTAATTAAACCTTGAATTGATAATATAAATTTTGAACATTAATAATCTAAATACAATTTGACAGCTAATTGTTGTTTAATAATGAAATCCTTAGATTCTTTTGAAGATTCTTGAGTTCCTTCAATTGATCCATAGTAAAAATAATTCTCATTAAGTTGTCGAATTTGAGGGGTAATATTGTCCTGTTGTCTGGCAATACAAGTATAATTGGTTGTACAATAGATTGACCTAAACATACGAAAATGAGTTAATTACATTATTACAGTGATTCTGATCACGAAACTTTTACACCACAAGGAGATTACTGTTTGTAATCAATATATTATTACAGTATATAATATATAATACAATACAATATATTATTGCATCAATATAGTGTTGCATGTCAATCCAATAATTGCTCGATATCGACTGCATATGCTTGAATATTGATACATTTTATCAAGCCAAGAAGCGTGATTTTCTTTTGTTTATGATTGACTTTGATCGTTCGAATGTTATTTCGAAATCTCGATCAAACGTATATATTTTTTTATTATAATAATAAAATACCTGTTTTTCATCGATTTTTTTAAAATAAAAAAAAGGAAGTTAATTGTGAAAAGTAAGATGGCAGAGGATACGAACAAAACCGAAAGCAGGAAAAGAATACATGATCAGATAGATTTAGATGATGAGTAAGCAAAAGGAGCTTCTCAAAAGTATTTTATAAAAATGTTTCAATTTGAATGTCAAATTTTACATACATTTTTCCTAATTTAATATTTTTATTAGTTTACAAATTTTAGTTTTATCAAATATTTAACTAATTTTATTGACAATTATAAAATTATTAAAGTTATTAAAATGAAAAATCTTTGACCATCAGAAAACACAAGAACAGATTGGAAAATGATTCTGTAAAATATCTTATGTGCTTGAATTCGTGGATGAGTTGTTCTCTAATGTATTATGTTAAATATTACTTCGTTGAATAAAGAAAAAAATAATAAATTATTTAATTTATATGATTTTGTATTTATTTTAATGAGAAAAGAATATTTTAAAAATTATATATAATTTTAAAAAAATTACAATATTTAAATTATACTGAGAGTGATTGTCTTTAAGAGAAATTTTAGACATTAGAAAATTCAACTGCTTAAAAATTTAAATAGGTTAGATAATAATAATAGTAATCACTCGAAATATTTTTAATTTCTTCAATAAAAACTATATTTTTAATT